GTTTTCATTTAATTTTCTTTTTTTGTGGCTTTCCGGCTACCATACTCTCGCCGAAAATCTCAGCAACAACCTCCGGCTTTTGGCAGTTTTCCTCATCGACCACTGTTTTCTCCATAACTTCCTCCTTTTTATTTTATTGACCCTTATCGAGTGGGTCATTTCTTTTTCTTTTTGGTGCCGAAAAGATCTTTACGGACCATATTAAAAAATGAGGCGGGGGGGGCTTTTTTATTTCCGTTTCTTATATATGTAAATGGAGGGGCGTTTTGGAAAGAAACGAAAAATTAAATAATATACAATTAAACTTTACAAAATGGAAAAGATAAAATAGATAATAAACTTATAAAACGAGACAACAAAAATAACCAGACAAAAAGGAATTCACAAAACAATAGGACGTGTAAAATAAAACGAGAAAAAGTAAAAAATTAAAGCTAAACAATAAAGACAAAGATAAAACAAGTAACAATCACAAAATAACTTTTAAAAAGGAAAAAGAAATGTTACAAGTACCAAATAAAAATATATACAATAATACAGGCGAAAAAGAACGTTTAACAATAATAAAAAAACAATAAGCTTAAAAAAATACGAAAAAAACAATTAAGAAATTTTCAAGATGGCCGATGTTAAAACAAAGTCTCACCAGAAAACGAACGAAGCACAAACAATAACAAAGGTAGATTAAAAAAATTAAACGTGAAATTTAACACAGGACGATTAACGATAAAAACACGGACAAAGAAAACAAGAAACAAAATAACACGTAATAAATAAAGAGAAAATGAAAAGGTAAGACGAAATAAACACGTGGAAACAAAGAAAGGTTTTGAGGGGGGTTACAAAAAATTAACAAAAGAATATAAAACCAAAATAATAATAAAAGAAAAGGAAAAAAATGGATAAAGTAAAATGTGGGGGAGTGAAAAAAAAATATCAAACCTTTTGCAAAAAACTGTCAGTAAAAGAAAACGTAAGAGAAAATAAAAACAACTTATCGTAACAAAAGAGTTCAAACAAACAAAAGGACGTTCACGTTGGCAGAAATTTCACGAGCTGAAAGAATTTCCGGTCGTAAAAGGTCGGTAAAAAATGGATCACTACATCAAGAGTATAGGGAATATATTTATTATGTAAAAAATACAAAATTGTGGCACAAGGCCGAAGGGGAAGTGGGGAAAAGGCTGGTCTTTCAGTAGCTATCTTAACCACAATCATGACCCATTCATTCATTACAATTACACATTCACCACAAGAACTCATCCATCACTTTTAAAGCCTGCACACACCACAATACTACATGTACACAAGCGTCCTACAAAACACCCCATAAATTAAAAGCTTTAACGCTCGTATATATATGTATATATCTAAAAATTTCATGAAACATGAAATGATGGGGAGGGATATAAATCCCGACAAGAAACTCAAAATATCAACCAAAGACAAAACGAAAACAAAACAATGTTAGTAGGACCCGTCCACCCCTCAAAATAATAAGAGTGGCGGCTGTTATTCTATGGACCAATGGAATCAACAAACACACTCACTAATAGAATGGGGAGGGAAAAATAAATGACAGAATGGGAAAATCAAAAGCTGACTCAGCCGAGAGGAAAAAGGGGGGCAAAAACAAACTGGGGAGATAGAGAATCTCGACATGGATCATAACAAGAAAAAGCCGGGAACAGGCCGGGAACAAGACTTATTCACATTAACTAGGAACACAAAATAGTGTCTAACTTAACAAGTGGGTCAACAGGAAACCGCCCCGTTGCGTTAAGGGGACTTATAAAGAAAATCAAAGCTACCCCCGTCCACACGAACCAGGCTCGCCTCAGTCACCCACCTTTCACTGAAATCTTTCGAAATCAAACGCTTTCGATCAGATCTGATTTTCACCTTTAGCTGATGCTTAAAGAAAACAATCAGATCCTGATACGAATAACGTTCATTTCGCAAGATCCCTCCTTTCGCGACATCCACACAACCATTCTTGCCACGGCTAGCAACGGAAAAATCACCATCCGTTTTACGCCGGAGAACGATGGCGACACATTATCACACGCGTACGCGAGATCGATGGACACGAATTGATCAGGAGCGATACGAGCCGTCAACTCGCCGACATAATCCCAGAAAGGGCGCACCTGAGGACAATGGTAGAAGGCGTGCGAAGCTGTTTCCTCTAAACCAACGTCATACAGATGACAATCTGGCAAATCTGCCATGCCCAATCTGAAGAGTACGTCATTGAGAGGTAGCACGTTCCGAATCAATCGCCAGTTAAGCGGACTCAGGGTTGCTGAGATAATCCGACGCTGGCGCCGAAGATCAAAAAGAGCGCAACTCTGATGCCGACAAGCCGAGCCGGTCACACAAAAAATACTTCGCAATGTGTAGGCTTTTTACAGCCTCTTCCATGGCTTCCCTGCTGACCCCAATGAATTTCCGACTTTTTACGTCGTGGTCAGCAGGGAAATTGTCCTTGTATTAATTGCATCCAAGGCTTCTGCTATAGTAATAAATTCATTGCCTTTGATGTACTTTTCATATTTTACTCGCTGTTCCTCATCTTTGGCCTCTTTTCCAACCAGGCACTTTTTTTCTGGTGACTTATTTTGTGAATGCACCGGTGGTGAATTTTAACCTTCCGCCATGGTGGAATAGACCGCCACAGCTGAATAAATAGTAGTTCGCCTTATAAAATTATGGTTCGTGCACTAACAAACGAAAGAACAATTTTACAAAAGACGAAGTAAAGTAAAAATCAAAATAAAATCAAATGAGCACAAATATAAACAAAAAGTAAAACCAAAACGAAACTGAAATAAAAAAAAAAGGAAGGGGGAGTAAACAACACAACAAGGAAACAAATTTAAATAAAATAAAATAAAAACGGAGGAATTCAAGAGTTCAAAAAATAAAAGGTAAGTAATTTGATAGTTTTTTTAAACTGGGCAGACCTGTGCTGGACTAAAAGAAAAATAACACGTGGTCAATCGAGCAGAGGACGAGAATTACTTCCAGAATCGAAATAACAATCCTTCCAGAGACTAGAATGGAGATCCCTTCCAGAGACTAGAATGGAGATCCCTTCCAGAGAATAGAGAATAGCGATCTCTTAGACATCACGCTAATTCCGATTTATACGTTTCCTTTACGATCACGTGATCTACTTATTTAATAATGGAATCGTCCGTGTTTGCTCACGGGCAATGTGTGTTCAAACTATGGTGTCGGTGACGACACTTTATTCCTATAAACACTTCATTACACGTGACACGTATCCAATCAAAACATCCTTCTACATCTTACTAAGTTTTACACAATATAGCGTCGAGAATGTTTCCCACACATATTTAAATATTATCTATTATTTCATTACTCCTAACACATATCTAAACAATAAGAAATAGCCGAACGCAACATATAATTAATCTGCATCTCTTTGCTTTTTATGATTTTTTATTATTTCCATCTTGATCTCTGACGAAGCTCTAATAAATTGAAACATGTTCGATTAAGATTTAGACGGATTCCTATCCATACTGATCTATATGTGAATGTATGAGTGTATATATATATATATATATATATATATATATATATATATATATATATATATATTCTTAGATATAATGTACCTGTAGAAAAGGAAATGTCAAGAGGAAAACTATACTTAGTTTTAGCCAACGCGTTTCGTCATCTAACAGACATTATCAAGTTAAATGTGATGGTTTTATTTTGCAACAAGTATGACAGTGGCTCAAAATTTTAAATTGAAGAACTATCATAAATATTCATCAGGTTAGTGAAAAGTTTAGGTGTTGAAACCTGGATTCCCTCGTACAGGACCTTCGAAAGGAAATTTTTCAATTCAAAGACGCTCTTAAATATCCAAAAGATTAACTCAAATGTCAAGGGATTTAGACATTAGATTACGTTATGTGCCTTCTTAAAAAGAGAATTTTTAAATTTAAAGGCGCTCATGAATATTCATCAATTTAACTGAACGTCTAGGCATTTAGAACTTAGATTACGTCATTTACTATACTCGAAAATGATTTTTTTCTTTTTGCTTTATACATCTCTGAAAATTGAAATGATGGTTTCAGCAGTTTTCCTTTTACTTTTCAACATATTTTTGGTGTGTATTGGCTTGGGAAAGTAATAATTCCATCATGAAAGGTGAGATTGGGGAAAAAACCGGAGCGTAGATTGATAATATTCGGTTGCGGCACCCTCGAGGATTTTCCTTCTTGCGTAAATTACTTTCTCTTTGGATTAGTGTGGCATTTTTTAGATCAAAGTTTATTTCTATGTATGAATGGGGTATTTGTTACATTATTATTTATAAGGTTTCTTTTGTGTTCATAGACACATTTTTAAAAAACATTCTGCATGTTTCTACATTGTATTGTGAAGAACAGTCTGTTTTATATATGTCTGCTTATGAACTATTCTTGATATAAGCGTTTTTACATCTGATTATATCCTGGATGGTTTTGGAAGTGGTTGTAATTATTGGGATGTTGTTTAAAAAAGTATTGATTATCTTCCTTCCTGTTTGGATCACTCTCAATAACTAACATGTATTTTATCAATTTGGGGATTTTCGAGCGAGTATATATTATCACCACGAGAAATAAAGACAGCTCGATAAGCAACAATATTGTCGCATCATCCATCCTTGAACAATACTTATTCATTTCATTTTTATCAATTCATTATCCTAGATTATTAATAACATAATTTCGAAAGCATATATTTTATTTCAAACGTTTTGGATTTAACAAAAAAAAAAAAAGAAAAAAGAGAGAAATAGAGAGTTAGCTTAATTCAGAATTTATAAGAGGTTCTGATTCATAAGGAGATCGATACTATGATTCTATTTTTCCTTTGTAAGATGAAAATATAAAACTAAAAATGTTCTTTTAGGAAAACGTATATGCCTCATAAATATTTAAGAATATGAAAAGAATATTGCCTTATTGGAGATGACCATTATTTCTTTAAGAGGATTGTGCTTCTGTTGGAGGATTATTGCTGCTGTCATATCGCCATATGATCTAAAGTCTGATTTGCATTCAGAGTTATTCACTCAAATGAAGGTAAGATAATTCAGAGAAAGACTATTCATACCATCTCGGACAAACTTTGATTTTGTGTTAAATAGCTTATTAATTGTTTAGAACAAACGCATTTGATACATATCCCCACTGCTTTTAAATTAACCCTAGTTTGTTTCTCCAATTGTTCTGCTACGATTTCTTTTGGGATTTAGCGAAAACGAATATTTTAGTTGGTCGTTACAAAATTAGAATTTCTGAAATGATTTGTAATAAAGATCATACGAGTAAAACCCACCGGGAAATAATGTGAAACTAGTTGTTTTTTTTATTATTTTTGTATTTCCCTGGTTTCTGGCTTTCTCCCGTCTTATGATGCTTAGTTTTCAAGCAACCTATCAGAAAACCATTAGTTTTCTCGTCAGACTGAATCGATAAAGGTTGACGAACCTGCAGCACTTAATATCACACATGAGAATAGAAGAGGGAAAAGATAAGAATTCTTGAATATATCAGGAAATATTTGTTTTGTAGTTCTGCGTGGATGTTTTTTGTCGAATTATTACCAGATGTTTGTTGGAATCAATGATGGAAAAACGAAAACCGGGGTCCATTGTATGTCCGCCGATCCCCAAGGATCTGCTGAATAATATTAACAGATCTGGAAAAAAGGCGTGATTGATGACAAATCTATAGCCTACAGTGACGTTGAACATTTGGTGACACAATTCATTTTATGGTTTTGTTTGTAGAATTTCTATTTTATTGCCTTTGATAGAAGATTATTCATCAATGTTGGCCTCGCAGTGGCATTAATGGACTTATCAGATCACAGACATGAAGCAGGCGGATATTACCGGAAAGTTTATAAATACATAACGCAGACATAGAAGAAACTCTGGGAGACGAAAGTGAATGTTTTGCTTACATTGAAATGATAGATTGTTCTCAGTTCAATAGCGTTGTGCAGGAAAATGAATAAAACATATTTGACAACTGAAAATATAAGCGGTTAGAGCTGCATTTGAGAACAAAGCAGTGGACGTAAAGTTTAATACAGTGGACATGAAGTTTAATGTTGGCCACCAAAGATGACAAAATTATTTTTGAACAAAAAACATTCATATAGTGTGTTTTATTTTTCATAGTGTATAATTGAAAGAAGAAATAATACTTTGATCTATTACGAAGAAAAAATTATGCAGAGGAATAATCGAAATTATCCAGAGGATTGTATTGCATTGGAGAAAATGCGGAAGAAATTACTTAAATATACTGAAATATATTAAATGTAATTTAATCTCCAATAAAAGAGATTTGTTAATATTAGTGCAAAAGACCAATGCTCCCTAAAATGGAAATCTTAGAGATTAGCAAGGAAGAACTTGAACATAATACTGACCCAATAAAAAAATAACTTGCAGAGTATGCATGAAAAGAGCTTCTATCATAGATATCCTTATCCTGATTACGAGAATTTATATCATCAAATTCATTGAATTTTAGCTTTAGAATTGTAAGGAAGTAAATAACGAATTTATCAATTTAAGAAATATACTGATTTAAATTACACTAAAAAGTAATTATGAACTTGATGCATATTTTGTTAAGTTGATCTCAGCCTAAATTCACAAAGGAATGAGAAAGAAAACAGTAAAATATATCAGATCAAGGGTAAAAGGCATACTCATAAAAGATTTACATTTAACATTGCCCAAATGTATGTATGTTTAGTGTAAGCAATGGTACCAGTTTAAAAAATACCTCAAAATACCTATAACACGCATGCCAATAGAACATAAATTTATACATGGAATATATATATATATATATATATATATATATATATATATATATATATATATATATATAATCCCTCACCGATAGCACGGCTCGAAGTTTATTGCACAACGCAGTCTTCAGGTGCTGAGTATAGACTGACCGTTACCTAATGTGTAATATCTGCTTATTGCAATGTTGGCAATGTTATATATTATACGGGGGTTACAGTTTTTGATGTTTAAAATGTACTTTGGCATTTGAAATAAACAGGATTTTCAAATATAGGTAAAAGCATATTTTAGAGTTATGAATAATAATTATCTATATTAAGCATAAAGGGAGATTAAAGGTTTAGTTAAAAAAATACAAAAAATTAATCTGGATTAAAGTATTTGAGCACATATTTATATTTAGGCCTACATCTAACCATCAATTTATTTCTCCTGTTAAACAAGATAGGATTATTTAAAACGCAAAGACAAATTAAATATGTTGTCTTTCCGATTGTAAAATTTGGCTCTGACTACAATATCCCACGTAATAATAGGTTTATCACCAGCATTTATTAATTGCCAGAAATGTTTCGAGAGAGCAGTGTTGTTTATGTATTTTATATTGTCTAAAAGCATTCGATGTTCGTAGAATATATATATATATATATATATATATATATATATATATATATATATATATGATCTATAAATGTATGAATTTGCGTAAAAAATACGCAAAAATAATAAATAATTCTAACATCTCATTTTAACAGATGCAATTACCAAAATGACACAAAAATATGTTGAAATACTAAAGAATAAACGTATTCAACATAATTGCCATTAGCTTAAGCCACAGCCTCCAGACGATTTCAGAATCTCCTGTAATACTTCTGGATAGTTTCCTTGTTTAAGTTGCTGAATACTGCCATAATATTTGCCTTCTGTTCATCTTTGGTGTTAAAAGGAGTTTTCTCGACAATCGCTCAACTGCGCCTCACACATAATAGTCTGTCACCTCTGAGTGTTCACTTTTCTATTTACATACGCTATATCTCTGATATTGAGCACTTTATCCCATCATATACCACACATTAAAACTATATATTTTTAATATATATATATATATATATATATATATATATATATATATGAATTATTCACACAAAACTAATGCAAAGGTTAATGATTTTAAATGGCGAGACATCCATCTCGCAAACAATTCAAATAGTACACAAAAACCTTAGATCCGTTATGAATGAATTGATCCTTGTTCATATAAATTTCTGCCGTATTAGTTGTTATTTTTACACAAGCTTTCGTCTGTTCATACAGACATCTTCAGGTATATAATAGATGTTGTTCTTGTTTTTTTTCTCTTAGTAATAAGAGGACATCGAAAATATATGTGTATTGTATCCGAAATGCTATTGAAAATGAGATATTGGTTTTTGAACGCGTCAAAGCAACGCTGAGTTTGATTTTTGAATTTCTTTTTTTAAAATGTTTGCGTTTATACTAAATATGGTAATGAACAAATTATTTTACTGGTAAATTTTACTGTCAAAGTGGCATGAACTATATTGTTCAATAATTACAGTAATGTCGCACTTATTAACCAAAAGTCGCACATGGATCAGTTATTTAAATTACAATAAACGTGCAATCAATTTACAAATACATGAATTATTCACACAAAACTAATGCAAAGGTTAATGATTTTAAATGGCGAGACATCCATCTCGCAAACAATTCAAATAGTACACAAAAACCTTAGATCCGTTATGAATGAATTGATCCTTGTTCATATAAATTTCTGCCGTATTAGTTGTTATTTTTACACAAGCTTTCGTCTGTTCATACAGACATCTTCAGGTATATAATAGATGTTGTTCTTGTTTTTTTCTCTTAGTAATAAGAGGACATCGAAAATATATGTGTATTGTATCCGAAATGCTATTGAAAATGAGATATTGGTTTTGAACGCGCCAAAGCAACGCTGAGTTTGATTTTTGAATTTCTTTTTTTAAAATGTTTGCGTTTATACCAAATATGGTAATGAACAAATTATTTTACTGGTAAATTTTACTGTCAAAGTGGCATGAACTATATTGTTATATTTATATATATATATATATATATATATATAATAATATATATATATATATATATATATATATATATATATATATATATATATATATATATATATGTAAATTAGAGATTTGAAATAATCATAATTATAATTCATCGAGTTTAGAAGAAAACTCAACAGAATGCAGAAAGCACTGGACGGCTTTGGTTTCAATTCTTGGTAGTCGATGCGCACTACTGATGAGTCCCAAATATAGGACGAAACGGCCGTCCAGTGCTTTCTGCATTCTGTTGAGGTTTCTTTCAGACTCGATGAATTACTTAATTATATATATATATATATGTGTGTGTGTGTGTGTGTGTGTGCGTGAGTGCGTGTGCGTGTACTAGCGATGAGAAAATATATATTTATCTGTGTGTGTAAAAATTTAAATATCTGGAGAACGATAATATAAATAATGAAAAAAAGAAGGCTTATCTTTGCTGACGCGTTTTGTCCCCTAAAGTAAGGATTTTATTTGGCGTGTTTTTTATGTATATTTCTTCTCTGTGTACGTAATAAGGAATATTTCTGAGCACCCTTATTTTGTGGTAAGTGATGATGAATATTCATGCACACCCCTATACTAAGAGCTTTTGAATTACCTAACATTTTTGCTCTTCTATATAAACACATAGCAGAAGATAATATTCTTACATTTGCCTTGATAAGAGGGCAAAACGCAATGGCAAAGTCAAGTTTTCATTTTAGTATTTATTCACACACACACACACATATACACGCACATGTATGTATGTATGTATGTATGTATATGTGTGTGTGTGTGTTATGAATTTGGACATATAATCACAAATGCGTTATACATTATTGACAATTAGAAAAAATCATATATATATACATATATATATATATATATATATATATATATATATATATATATATATATATATATTTCTCACACACAAACATTTATATGTAAAAAAGAAAGAAGATAGAATCATCGTCATGGAGAAGGAGGCATACAGACGGAAGGATAAACAGTTCTTTATTGATGTAATTATTCTAAAAGATATTAAATCGCTAATGAGGATCCTAACAATAATCTGGATACAATAAATTTATAAATGTTATTACAGGATTTTCCATTGACTTCTATAATATATCTATAATGTTTAAATAAAAATAAATTCAAATTTTAAAACTCGAGTTAAATTTGTATTCCATGATAGAAATATGGAAAAACTGATTGTAAGTTATAATATTGATAATTTTAAGTCGACTCTGTAGCAAAGCTACTATTAACCACTAGTGCAAATCAAGACTTTTCAAATAGATGGATCTTGACTAATGACACTACGCAATCTTTCTTTTTATTCTTGTGCAAGCTCCTCCGCTATATAATGATCATCCGTTTCAGATTGTCTCATTTCTAATGACGTCATTCCTATGTTCCTGCAGCCTTACATGTTGCTCTCCGCACAAAAATACAATAGAGATACATACTTAATATATTGATATTGTAAAGATATAGAAACATGAGAACAAAACTTCGTATATTATGAATTATTACAACACAGAATGATGCTGCGAATGTAGTGTGTGTGAAGGGGAGAGAGAGAGAGAGAGAGAGAGACAGACAGACAGACAGACAGAGACAAAATGCAAATTCAGACGAACATAAAAAAAAAATCATGAAAATAACCAAACTACAACATTGGAGAAAATGAAATGTACATGAGAATTCATTTATGAAGAGTAATTTTTTATTTATAAAACGGCTGGGAAGACAATAGTGGGCAAATGAAGTAAGAATTTTGGTTTTCAAGATAAGATTTTGGATAAGAATTTTTACCGTTTACAATACAAAAGATGTAAACCAAGGAAAATATTCATGCAAGACTTCACTTTCTACAAAATATATATTGCCCAGCTAAAAATTTCAAAAATACTAAATTAATGGAATAAAATTATTCTCCTTTAGATCGACTAGAATCCGTAAGAAAAGTGAACAAAATAAATGGACGACAGAATAATGAATGATGGAGAATGTAAAACGACTACAAATTAATAAGTAAAATAATCAGTTATATGGAAATTTTTTAATCAATGTGCGTATGTGACACAAATATTTTGAATTTATAGATGAAACTATAATTTGCGTGAATATTAAAACCTGGCACTTTCAAAACAAGAAAGTTAATACATCTTTTAAGATATTATAAGCGGAAACACATACAGTAAATACATAAATATATCCGGAAAACATTTCAAACGAGGTTGGTTAATAAAATTTTATTGTTAAAACGCTGATTTGCAAAATAATAAATATATATCCGTGTGTATTGGTGTGTGTACTCAGAAGTGGATTTGCTTGCATTGTCCTTTTTCCAAATAGCTATCATTTCAATAAAACGCTGCCTTTTGAAACATTTTATTACTATATAATTATCAACTCTGCGTTATCTATTTGTATACTTATTACATAAATTCAGCTCTTGTATACACCTTTCTCATTGAAATTCTTTACAGATCTTATTTCACGTTTCGAGTGTTCCTGATTTGGTGTTTATTGAGAAATGATAAAAAGGCATTCGTCTTCTCTTGTAAAGGTTTGCCACTCATGATGCTTTCACATTTTTATTTTCTTTACAAATATGTTTTTTTTTTTTAACTTCTACAATCGTTTCATCTTCTTTCTCTTTCGGTTCTCTTTTTTTTTTCTGGCTTTTCTAATTTTCCTCTTTATGGCAAATCAGAAAATCACACCATTCAATAGCCTCCAACTTCTGTTATTAAGTACTTCTTATTCGTTTATTATCTTTTAATTTCGCAAGTTTTCTCTCTCTTTTTACTCCGTTTACAGTTTCTCAGTTAAAATCCCTGTTTTCTCTTTAGTTTTACCATACAATTATTTTTACTTTTTCTTTTTCGATTTCTTCATTGAAAATCATTCTTTTACTCTTCACCTTCTTTCATTGCTTCCACTTTACTCCTCATTCACTTCTTTCTTTTTTTTCTTACCCACGTCATCTCTCGATTCTTTCTTTCGTCTGTATTTAGACTAAACTGCTACTAGAAAAATGATATTAATAATTTTAGGCTCAAATTACATCCTACGGACAAAAAAGGTTCAATTTATAAACTTCTTGATGGCATTCTAAAGTTTTACAGAGGCTATAGAAATCTATATGACCTCAGGTACATAGAGTCGTTTTACATACATACAGACATACACAACTGACGCCCATGTATACAATTATACATAGAAAACTAGGTTTGTCCAGGCGAAATATTATTCCTCATCTAATCTCTTGCATAAAAAAAGCTAAAATCATCCACCCAACACACACGCACACACAACCACCCACACGCACGTGGATGCACAGATAGATAGATAGATAGATAGATAGATAGATAGATACCCATAAATGCACATATAAGCATATATCGTATACATTTATATACATGCACACAAGTATATTTTAATCTGTACGGACCTAAGAGTTCTTCGTTAAATCAAACACTTTATTATTATTATTATTATTATTATTATTATTGAGTGTGTATGTTATTCTTCCTGCTTTGTATTCTGTAGATCCAGGTCCAAATTATGGTTTTTTAGTCCCTATAGGAGAATTGTCAGTTCATAGATGAAACTTTTAAATTCTCTCATTATGTTTATTTTATCACTATTTTGTCGGAGTTAACTCCTCCTTTAGTTCGTTAACCCTTTCACCAGGGGTCTCTCTTCGCTGCTATAAATAGCCGCTGACCCTTCGTCTCTCTCTCTTTTTCTCTCAGGCCTTCGCGTCGACACCTGGAGGTAAATCTCTCTACTTCCTCAGGCTTTCAGCTTACAACCTCGAAATGTAGGCGCTAACAAGGGATAGCGTTTCTCAAAGTGCTGGGAACACGCTAAGCACAATACACGCACATACAGAGTATTCACACACACGCTTTGTCCTTTGTAACTGTTTTCGTGTAACTTGTTATTAATATATATTTGTATACATATCTTATCGGTCTTGTGTTTTTGTTTGTTTCTCCTTGCCTTCTTCTTTGGATTTAATTCAAGTCCAACCTTTTTATGTAGTTGGGCCGGCAAGCAGGAAAAATCTGAACCCACATGACATGTTTCTTCTACGTCTCCTCAACAACATAACAGCCACGCTCCTCTACAATTTCAACTCTTCTGGAATAACTGATTCCATGTTATTGTTTCGCTAAATCACATTTACTTATGAATGATTATTTCTCAAATTTATTTTCATTACTCTCTTTATATTACTCAGATTTGAAGAAATACAACATAAACAAATGAAAATAAATGAAAATCGGACAATCATAGAATAAAAAGAAAATGTCTTACAGAGAAGTAACTGATAAGAGTTGCGAGAATTATTCTATGAAAACAAAAAAAAACATAAATCTACAATACATGAGAATATGGAAGAACGTTTATTGTTAAAATCAGAGGTAAAAAAAAGAAACTCACTAGGATGAATGGAAACAAATCGGATGGATCAGATGTTACTGTAATAGAGACTTCTAGACCTATATTCATAGAACTTCCAAAGATACTTTGTACAAAGAAATGTAAATTTAGACAAACCATTTCATGAGCCACATAACCAATAATTTGAAGTCTATACAGATCAATTAGTAGATTTAGATAAGAAATAGGACAAGAACTTTGGGCTTTTTTTTCAAGTCACAGGAACAGGAAAACGGTTTATGATCAGAATTCTGTCAGAGCGAAAAAATACAATACATATAATGTTATGAGCAATGCGTAAGTATTACAAAAAATAAGAACAATACCTGAGACTTATAATTAGCAGAGAAGAGTTGAAATAATAATAAAATAAACATAATGAGAGAATTTAAATCCAACATGTCAGAGAAACAGGAGGATACAATGAATAGACTTGATAAGATTTTGAGAAAATGTTTGCGAGAATAAGGACAAAAGGAATAGTTAAGATGCAAATGTTATTTAGAGTAAAAAAAGAGGTTGTGGAGGGCTATCCTAAAATAAAATGGCTTATAAAAGAAGAATGACTTTTGGGTGTTAGATTTTATTAGATATAAAATAGGTGTTATTAAAACTTTCCTCATGAGAGCGCACGAGAACTCATCCTCTCACACGCTTTTCGTTAAAGAATTAAAAAAAATGTAAAGCAAACGCTGATTAATAACGGATTTCCTAATCAATTGCTGGATTTCCACATTAGGCGTTTCTTGTTTAAGGTAGCTAATAGCAACGGCGAGAATAGAAACATAAACAATAACATTAATATTTTTAAATAAAAATCAGATGAACGAAAATTATAAACATGATGAATGCAGAATTAAGAACATTATAAAAAATGTATAAAACCAGTTGACAATAGCGAAAAAATTAGATTAATTATTTATTATAAAAAATTTAAAACCTCTAACCTTATAGTTAAAAATAATAATTCACCTCTTAGAACAAAATTAAATAAGGCAAATATTATTTACGAATAAGGAATTAAGGAATTGTATTCCTGATCAATCAAAATTCGTAAATAATTATATAGGCCACACTACAACATGTTTGACACGCAGACTCACTCTACAGCTTTCTGACCATTGCTCAATTAGATGTCATTTAAATATTCATGGAGACCTACCGGACACTATTCGTAACATACTTGTCGACAACACTAATATAATGCAAAAAAGGCTAAAAATAATGGAAGCCTTATTAATAAAAACAAACAAACCAACACTTAATAATATTAACTTTGAACATGGACATAATATCTTGACTGTGTTTTGAAACAAAAAATGAAAACATTTTATAAAACATTCATACAACAAACTATTTCTGAATTTCACAGTTAAAATATAATCCTTGAAAATGGCTAAATGTATAGCCGAAAGCGCTCGGATAAAAAGAACATTCGGACTGTTTTTATATAATTTATCATCCGAAAACAAAAAAGAATGATTAGATCGCATGAGGAATTATATAAAAAAAACTAAATAAAAGCACCTTGTCTGTCGTTTTCAATGAAATGTGCATGAAAGAAGGATTGCTGCCTAAATACACAAATATATAATTATACTTCTATCTAATGACGACTCACATCCCACTTCAAAATTAAATTCTATATACTATTATGAACACACCTTTCAACTATGCGAGAATAGAAATTATTTTAAGAAAATAATTAGATTCACGAGTTTAATTCATTGTTTGGATGTTTGACATTCATTTATTTTTTCTGATTTTGATGTATTAAATCATTACAATCTTCCTTTCTACCCTTTTTATTTTATTTGCATTTTATCGAATAAAACTATGCTTATGAAATATCCTGAATATAAAGATAATATACCCCCCATATATATATATATATATATATATATATATATATATATATATATATATATATATATAGAGAGAGAGAGAGAGAGAGAGAGAAAGAGGGAGAGAGATGATAGGATAAAGAAAAATTGGAAATGTTTTTATCAATGTAACATGTTTTGCCTGGAAAATAATTTTCCTATTTGTTCTTTTTTTAATCATGCAGTGTGTGTGTGTGTGTGTGTGTGTGTGTGTGTGTGTGTGTGTGTTTCTGGCTAAAACTAAAAGAAAACTACTATAATTAACATGCGTGTGCGTATTATTATGTCTTGGTTTATTAATATTTTTCGGATATCTTATGGAAATTTTTTTTTTTAATCTTTAAAAAACACACTTCAATTTTTACTTTAATAGGAATAACTAATCTAATAGTTAGGGATATTCTTTTCTTCTTTCTTTCTTTCTTTCTTTCTTCATTCTCAGCAGATGCTTCGCGTATACTTGGGGGCGAATAATAAATAAAAGTGTAACTTTAAAAAATGAATATTAAACAACAAAGTATATTTAAAAGAGGAAAAATATTAAATGCAATTATTTGAAAGAGTTTGATATCTATTTATTGAAATATTTGAGTGTGTGTGCGTGTGTGTGTCCGGCTAACACCAAAAAGCTACAATAATTAACGACAAAATAAATTAGTAACCAATCAAAATCAAGAACAATTCGGTAATGAATTCTATGGATTTTTTTTTTAAAAACATATGTTAAGACAGTGAAAGGCAGGCAAACAGACCGGACCAGCCGCTAAAGAGCATTTCATTCGCTGTCTTCTTACTCTTAAGCTTCAGACACATAAAAATCCCACAGAGAGTCAAAAGAATTACTGCTTTCAAGAAATACTTACATACATACATACACATTAGCAAAAAACCTCCTCTCTCACTACCCATCTATCTATCTATCTATCTATCTATCTATCTATCTATTTTATCAGTACATGCAATCTATATTATCTTTGCATGCATTTTTAAAAGGCCATAAATTGGTGTATATTTGGATTAAGGGCGTTATCCAAAGATAACCACCTGTAAACAAGTAAACCTCTACTTTGGTTACTTCCACACTAACAGACCCTCACACCATGGCCTCGACCCTCGCACCATGGCCTTGACTCCCACACCATAGCCTCGACCCTCACACCAGGGCCTCGATCATCGCACCAGGGCCTCGACCCTTGCACCATGGGCTTGACCCTCACACCATGTCCTCGACCCTCGCACCATGGCCTCGACCCTCACACCAGGGCCTCAACCCCACACCCATGGCCATGACCCTCACACCAGGGCCTCGACCCTCGACCCTCGCACCAGGGCCTCTACCCTCGCACCATGGCCTCGACTCTCACACCATGGCCTCGACCCTCACACCATGGCCGCGACCCTCACACCAGGGCCTCGACCCTCGACCCTCGCACCAGGGCCTCTACCCTCGCACCATGGCCTCGACTCTCACACCATGGCCTCGACCCTCGCACCATGTCCTCGACTCTCACACCATGGCCTCGACCCTCACAGAGTCGCAGTATGTTTGTGTATTATTGCCTTATTAATATTTTTCCGCCATCTTATGGAAATATTTTTTTGTTCAATCTTTAGAAAAATAAACTTCATTGCTATTTGGTTTGTAACTAATTTAATGCAAGATACTATAGCAAGCTTTATTTTTTCGAAAATTTATTTAAATAAATTATAGTTAATTTCGTATACAAACAATCAACACGACTAATGTTGACCGTAAGTCATGTCTGTCTCTGCTAATTTTTATTTAACTAAAGTTATTTTTCTTTTCCGATACAGATATAACTTGAAATGTAAACATAATGGCTAAATTCTGAATGTATCTTGATTCTACTCTCTTTCAATATAATTAGTAATTAAATTCATTTACGTAGGAATGTTCACTTCTTCAATGTAATGTTTAAAAGTAACATTTATTTACTTAAAAAATGTAAATTCCCCTCCAAAATAAATATAAAATGCTTATTTTTTGAAGACGTAACAATAATTAAATTAAACATGTTTAAATATATCTTAATTTAAGCTTATTTAATTTTTTTTAATAATAATTTGAAAAGAATGTTACTGAATTTTTATCTAAGTTTGATTTGTTTGAAAACAGCATTAACAGAGTATTTATGTTAGTATTTAAATAAAAAAGTAAGTGTCTTTTTTAATAAAAATATGAGGATATTCAGTTCCCTAATTCCCACTCCCATAGAGCATGGTATTTGTAGTGTGGTATTTTCCTAAATTTAGTTATTTTGTAACAAACCAAGGAAACAATGAAGTTTACTTTTTAAAGATTGAATAAAAAATTATTTTCCATAAGATGGCTGAAAAAATATCAATTAATTATCAATAATATAAATAAAAATTCAGAAATCTCCGAACAAAGTCGGGTATCCCCGACAGTTCGTCAATAAATGAGATATATTGTCATTTGTTTTGCTTTCAACAATTTCCTTATTTCGCTATAGAAAACGAATTATGTCACTGCTGTTACGAGAGATGAAACCATATTGCTACAATGAAAGATGTTCTTAGATACCGTAAATTTCGATGGAGAAAATCGTATGTCCACGTATCAACGTTTGCGTTGAAACACAGAAATTTCCTTGATAGATCTGTGAATGTCTTTGAAATAGAACACGTGCTTAATAAATTATTAAATGATAAAAATACAAAACGAAATTACAAGTAATCAACATAATCCTCACAGATGAGTTTTCATATGAATAAGAGGAATGCTATTCTTTTCGTTTAAGCGTTTTATCTGATTTCGAATCTTATTCTCCTTACTATTCTGAATGGTTCTTCTTCATGCATATGTAAATGGTTTGTTTACATTCATACATTTAGGGCAGGTAATTTGAGGATCGTAGGCTTTTCACCTCTCTCTTGGGTGAGCGAGTTGTGTACATCCCATTGGGGCCAATGTACGATGATAAATCCAGATCAAAGACAGAAATCGTTTTGATGTTTTCAGTGCACCCACAGAGACTCTCCTCACCGGGAAGAATGGCATTACAATAGATTCCTAACTCTATTTGCCTTCCTTTGAGATTATATTATTCTAAGCGGAAGTAGTAAATATCAAGTTACTTAGCTGTCCAGAAAAAATATATAGAAACATCATGGATTATTTCGCATAACGGAGCCTCATAAACAATTAAACGCATTGATAGAAAAAGAAATGTCTCATTTTTAAAATTTATTTTAACACTATAATACATTTTGTTCTTTCAAAATGATTAATGATGGTTGAACTGATTTCGAACTGTGTGTCTGGAGAATGTTTACAAACACTTTAACCAAATAGCACCTATCGTGTTCGACATTTGCGAAGAATGATGAAAACTATTGGCAAATTGTTTAAATTGATAATTATATGTCGGTACTGGAAAGAGCAGAACGTGATGACTTGCAGTTTAACGCCTTAAGTGATCATTAGATCATCTGATAATAATTGATTATTGTTTAAGGTGTGAAACAAGACAAAACCAACAAAGCAGTTTAGATATTTTTGTCAAGAAAGTCAAGAAATGGTCGAGGCTCCATATTGAGAATTCTTATCTCATAAATATAGCAAATTTTCACACACACATATACAAACGCGCGCTCGCGCACACGCACACACACACACACACACACAGCTGCTGCATAAATAATTTGCTTTCTTCAAATTAAACATACATTCTATAGTTGCGTGTTTTAGCCATTTTCCTATACAAGACGAGAAGATTAATCAATAGTAAATCCAACAAGTGTATATTTCCATGCTATCCTTTCCCAATAATCAATTTTACTTTTAATCACAGCAAACAGAGAAACAGATTTATTTTCTTATCGATCTTTTCCGAACCACTGGGCGCTTGATTTAATCTCCGTGCTTTTGCTGACCACCCCCGCATCAATCGAATGAAATTCATTTTCTTACTTTATTGACCTTACACTCTAAAGCATAAATGTTTTTATATGGACTCTATTGAATTATTTGCAACTAGCAGCATGGCTCGGCGTTGCCCGTGCTTGATTAAAAAATTAAGCAATCGCTATCACTTGATATTTTTGCCCTTCCTTGCCTTTAAAGGAGTTCCCTTTGCCGTGCTGATGTCGCTACATGCCTTACTTCTTGCCTATCTCGCACTGCGAATTTTTTCTAAGCTCTATACTAAACATTAAATCTGTTACGAAAAAAAGAACTAAACAAAATGAACACAAAACGATCAGCTTTAAAAAAGGACTCGTCACTGGAAAAACCGAATGAAAAAAGACTGTTAACAACAAATACTTTTTCACACACAACCCAGTTTCCTGAAATATTGAGACCGGTCATACTACTTGGGCGGGGTTGTTGTTGCCCTTGTTTTGTTAATCCGGTACTTTCGAAACCATACATTGATCCGATTTTAAGTTCAAATAAAAAGAGCTCAAAAGTGTTTAACAACGCGATGTCAACTGCACAGAGTCCAAAATGAGGTGAAAAGCTTAGATGTACTGGACCGCGTAGTGCAGGCGAAACATTCAACTTAAAACCCCCAAAATCTGTATCACCTGTCGTTTTTTTTTTTTTTTACAAAGTTTGAGTGCCAAATAAAAAATCGGGCTCCGGTATGACACAATGACGTAAATTGAAAAATCAGATCTGGGATGTGGCCTGGGAGAGAGGACAAAGTTTAAAGAAGTGGGAAATGGATTGCTGAGGGCATGGACAACACGGATGTTTGTATCGATTTTTGAGACACGACGGGGTCACACGGCATTGTACGCAAGGCACCTCTAACTGGGCCTCGTAGGAATTTCTGGTTGAATTGTAAAGAACGCCCGAAATTATAGAATGTAATCCGCCCAAATACCGGAGTACCAGCCGATTTACCAATTTTTTGAAAGCCTGAGTCCAAATTGAAAATCTGTCTCCGTTACGAATTGACAGCGTAAATGTTGGAAGTTGAATCGACATTTGACGTTAATTGCAGCCTGGGCGTGAAAAGAAGTCAAAAACTGACAGCTGATGGCAGGGTCGAACCGGAGCTTTTTATCGATTTTTTGCAGCACAAAGGGGTCTCGCACGCATTTTTGAAAAGGCCCGTAATCTGGTCGGGGTCATTCATTTCTGTACATATTTTATGGTGATGTGAGGAGAGACAATTGATGCTTGTAACAATACATTAGTTGTCGATGAGTTCAATGCTTTCCCAGTAATGCGGTAAAGGGGGAGCAAGTGCTTATCCCAAGGATGAATTTGTATCCATCCGATGTGCCCTTCACTTTCAGAAGATCCCCATTCTCATTGGCACCCTGTTTTGCTATGACAATTAATAAGGCCCAAGGACAAACACTGTCTGTCACTGGTGTACACTTAGAGGAGCAGTGCTTCTCATACGGCCAACTTTACGTAGATGATGTGTTCCTTTATTCACCCTCACAAAATGCTGAAAATGTGGTCTACACTGAATTCCTCAGCGAGTTCTCAGCAAATTCCATTCCATTTTTCCTTTCCATGCAAGAAAATTGCAGCCAGTTATAATTTTGGCCTCAATAATGTTTGGGTGTAGGACCTCAATAACCATCCTGGTCCCATTACAGAGTTTGGTGGACGCAGGTTTCTAAGCAACATAACCGGGATCCCCACTTTAAGTTCCAGAATGTGAGGAGGGAGACCAGCGGGGTGGAGACTGTTTAAGAACTCCACTGGAAAGTTCGCCATTTCAGCGGGGTCTGGAGTTCTGTCAATGGATTTGTAAATGTGCAACACCCCTGGCACAGTTTCTAGAAGCTGTCTATTAAGGGTTGTCACAGTGGTGTTTTTTGGGACAAGAATTGCCCGCCCAGCAAGCCACTCAATATTTTGTACTTGGTTTGAAGATCAGGAAAAACTGATTCCCTGAGTGTTGCTGGCACTGTAGACAACTCTTGGACGTTTACAAATCCATTAGTGTCCGCTGGAATAATACCTTCGCCAAAGGCAAATAATGAATTCGAAACTTCGGCGGACCCAACATCGCCAGTTAGGTGTGCACGCATGTCGGTGGTAAGGTGCAATGGTCTAACAGTGGGCCAAAGCTGTGATGATTTCAAGCACGCTCGAATAGCGTCGGCCCTTGTCCCCTTAGGTACAACGGGTAGGGTCTGGCGAAAGTCACCGGATAGAAGGACAGTTATAAATCCCATAAGATCATCGGAGTTTCGAATATCCTTCAGGGAGCGGTTTACAGCCTCGAGTGCAGTTTTGGGACTGACAGTGCACTCATCCCGGACGATGAGCTTACATCGCCTGAGTACCTCCGCTAGACCTAATTGCTTGGCTATACTGCATACAGCTGTTTCTGCCTGAATCAGTTCAAGCGGAAGTTTAAACGTTGAGTGCACTGCTAGCGCCACTTCGCCATGTCGCCGAATTTCAGCAAGAAGCAGTTTTGTTACGAACATTTTTCCGTTCCCCCAGGCGTGTCCAGGAAGAAAATTGACCCTGTATCCTGCCTGGTGGATGCAAGAACCGCATCGTAAGCGGCCCTTTGGTCTATGAGAAGTTTTGGCTCATTTGTTGTGGCATATGCGTTGAGCTACTCAAAAGAGTAGGATGTCTCCCACACAATATCACGTGAGAGACTGGAGGAAGCCACACGATCGGGAGTTGGAAGCGCAATAGCGGCGAGAGATTTCCACCACCCCTTTCAACAAACAGGTTCTCAATGATTATAAGTGCCCTGTTTAAATTTCATCGTTGAATGTAAGAGACATTGTTGGACACAGCAGTTGTGCTTCTCTGAGTATCACTGGGTTCGCACATTTGTAAGATTGTGGTGAAGAGGTGGGGCAAAGCAGAGGGCATTTTTAAAAGAGCTCCCTCAGCCATTGTGGCATCCCACTGGCTGTCGTCTTCCAAAAGGCCGCGACGGAGGCAGGCCTCACGAAAAGTGTCACATAAAATTCCATTAACCGTCCGTAAGTTATTATAGCTCGTTGAACCACTAACTTCGTGCAAAAGGACTCGCAAGTAAAAACATTCCTGTCGCGATGGGGGAACCGTTAATACCCTTCCGAGTGTGGCGTCCTTTTTGACGCCTGGATAGCCCTCGACGTTGGCCTCGCACTTCCGCCGAGCGTAGGTGTTCTTTTTTGTCCACACGTAGTATGAAGGCACGTCTGGGTACAGTAGAGTCCTAGCAAACTCGTCCTGTGGACAAAGTTTGAAGAACGCTGTAAGTGTTGTGTCTTTGGAACGCGCAGCCACATCCATAGCTGTATCCGCAGAAAAATAACGGAGTTCGTCGTTTTCTAGGTGCACAGCAAGCTGGACGATTGCTGGGAAGGGTTCGTGGATGGGGAAGCTGAATATGTGCCAAGGGCCCTCTGTGCTGCTAATGACGCGCCCTTCAAGGAAGTCCTTGATTTCGTTTAAGGAATCTTCCTGCCTAATACCAAACATTGCAGCATCAGTCCCTTTGTTGATGTACTTGCATACATACTTGATGGAGCGAACTGAATGGCAATATTCGACATTGATGTGCACATTGAGCGCTTTTGTTAGCAGGGGACAGTATGGCACTACCCATCTGTTATCCACTTGGTAGCCTTTTACCACGGCTGTAAATCCTCCCTCAGCGGGACTCCTTCGCCGGTACAGTGGATAACCATCGCTCCCTGTAATGGCTTCGCTAACGAAATCTCGTGGGTACTGCCGGGTGCATTTGCCGTCGCTGTTGTGACAGCTGGAGTAATTGTAATGCCACCCACAGGGACCATGAATCATGTTGGTTGTCACTATTTCGTACAATTCAGGGTCAGCCGACAGAACAGGAATTTCAGCAGAAAAAATGAGCGATTTCTGTGGCTTCAGTCTTGTCGCACAGCCAAATTAGTATATGTGCGTGAGGCAGGCCGCGTTTTTGCTACTCAATAGTGTGCATGCGACAGAAAACAGCCCCAAAACCTGGCCCTTTGTAATCACATCCATTAGTTTTCCCAACTTCAGATGGTAAACGCGTGCAATGAGGTCTAGACGGTCGTAGGCCGATTGCCCTGGCATAAGTTCATTTTGGGTTACACGTGAAAGTTATGAATAGGTCTGGTCGGCCGTACTTACGAACGTATGTCATCGCGTCTTGCGTCCTCGCGTGCATGTACCGTGGACTGCCTGTGAACGTTGCAGGTAGTATGCACATGTTGCTTATATTGCGTGGATCAGCGTCATTTCGTAAAGCATCACGGAGGTGAATGTAAGAGTCGCAGCGCAACTTGGTCTGATTCAATTTGATGTAACAGTCTTTCGGGTTCTATCTTAGCAGCCATGTCTACTATGAACTGATGGAAAATTTGCCGGCTTCGATGAAGATGATTGAATGCACCCTCATGTACCAAGAATAGGTAGGCGCAGAAAGCCCTTCAAGACACTGTTTTTAAGGTGGGCTCATTTTGCAGAATGCCAAAGTGGTACCCATCTTCTCCCTAAGAGAAGAGAAGTGGGTATTGCAGTGCATCGTTGGACCGGTGCGTTTCACTGATTCTTCGGAGCCCACTGCCGCGCGATTCGATAACAATGTCACGTCTGTTGTGCTGATCATCGCTGACAATGAGGGAAACTTGCGGGAGCATTGTAACGATGTTCATGCTCTCCCTGAGGCCGTTTGTCAGCATCAATTACAATAATGAAATCAGAAGTGTTATTTTCGAGACCATACTTAAAACTGCGGACATAGCTGTTTGTCTCGTGGAGCATTTGTTGGAGACTCATTATGATATCCCTGCGAGGATGATTATCCTGGCCTGTATCGTTCTCGGGAATAATGCCCATGCGGGCATCAGCCTGTTGATTGTAGTCAGCTATGAAGTATATTTGTAGAAAGGCCGAATCAGTGGCAGTTTCCGGCAAAAGAGACCCAATCCGGTGGTAAACCTGACCTTGAACCTTGAAGGTGGGATTCCATCCGACTTCATGGAAGGCATTACCACCAAAAGAGCTCATCTTGAAGGCACAATTGTACTCTCTGATTTTTGCGAGGAAATGTTTGGAGTCTGGACTGGTACACTCCAACAGAGCTTTCAAAGGAGCATGTAGCTCTTGAAAAGGTGGCAACTGTACCTTACCGACTGAACAACACAAACCTGCAGACTCTTCAGTCCATGTTTTTGGCATTGCAATGCCCACAGACAACTGACATGGATCCTATTTGGAGGTCTTTGCGACCGGAAAGCCTCAAAACTGGCTCATAGTTGAACGCCAGCTTAAACCAAAACTGCTTTGGTGGGCTACAGAGCCCACGCTGTGAATGGCGGCGCTGGTTATCAGTCTTCAACCGTTCAAGCCATTAAATAGATCCTTCTACATCTCTAGTTAAGTTGAAATTGCATCGCGTTGCAGCCTTGTGCGCTTTTGAGGGGAACTTTTCGACACCCTTGCGGCAGAAGTTGCAGCGGCGTCGGCTGCATGGCGTGCGGTTTTCTCAGCCGTGGTCTCCTGGGACCGTCGAATGGAAGTTACAGCCGCATCGGCTGCATTGCAAGTAGCTTTTCGATGCGGGCTCAGTCGAGACCGCAAAAGCGCTTGTCTTGAAAGCGTTTAGGTAGTTTCCTCTTACTTTTCAACGTGTAAACTGATTTGCAGTACAAACGGTAGTTACGCTCACCAAGCCTTTCATGTGACAAAACATACCGCCAACATTGAGATTGACTGGAGAGCCTCAAAGAGGCCTCTACCTCGGTTTTCTCCTCCCGCTTTCTCTTTGCCGGAGAGGCTCTTTTAGAACGCCTGCTAAGGTTGCCTCGCCATGGTATTTTGGCACGCTTAGCAAAGCTGCCGGGTCGGTCATCGCCACGGCACTCAGAAGAGTGCAAAGCAGAGGTTGAAGTAGACGCCAGCCGCTTCTCCCCCAATGAGGCGAACTCAATGGAATCCTGCTCCCGTTTCCCCTTACCGGTGAGGCTTTTTTAGAACGCCTGCTAAGGATGCCTCGCCTGGGTGTTTTTGCAGCCTTTGCAGAGCTGCCGAGTTGGTCATCGCCATGGCGCGCAGAAGAGTGCAAAGCAGTGTTTGAAGTAGACACTATATGATCATCTGCAACCGGAGTTATTATGTGCTCCTCCGCAGTGGCCTGTTCTGCATGTGTTACGTTAACGGTATTAGGGGTCTTCAGTTCCTGACGTGCGGATGTCCGCCGTGTAGGAGCCATTTGAAGGGTTGTAGAAATGCTGTGTAAGAATGCGAATAGAAGTTGATGCCGAAGCAGAAGCGGTGCAACCTCGTTGTATACGAAAACTAAAAATGCAATGGAGCGGTATGGAAATAGCCTCTCCTAGTTGTGGGCCGTGCTTTCTGGCAGCACGAAAACGTCGCCGTAGGAAGAGGTTACGCAACCAAAACGTTGAAGGTTAAAAAGTAGTGAAACACTGTGTTGTACTGGGCCACGTAGTAAAGGCAGAAGAGAACTAACTTGCGACAACAGTTAAATGTCTAATAGCAAAACTTAAGTAAGAATAGGTACAAATAGGTATGGAATGCTAAGATATACTGGGCTGCGTTGTAGAGTTAGTACGCGGAGATAAAAGTGCAATGCAAACGTTTAAGCAAATAGGTAACTTGCGGTAGCAGGAAGCTGTCAATTAATCCAAGGACAGATGCGTTAATGGCGATCAAATCAAGACGTGAGTGCGGATGCAGCCGCGCTGAAGGTATTTAAAAGGAGCGTGACTTGTCATTGATTGGTGTAGCATGGACAATGGCGATGACTTAGACCAATGAATGAGCTCACGCAAAATGGAAGATGCTAGCACGCATTCACGCACGCGCGCATGATTTGGCAAGCGCAAGGCTTGGCCGTAAGCGGGGTCAAGCTTCCTGATGCATATGCAACTTGGCTCTAACGCACGTGATGCCGGCGATGAGAATGAAAGGAGCTGTAATGAAGCGTTTGCTCATTTGGTTTGTGCGACAACGATTAGCCGCTAACCGTTTGCCGGCATTAGCTTTGAAATGGATTGGGAGGAAGCCCTGCTGTTTTAGCGCAAAAACTCCTCGTCAAGTCTGGGATGCGGCCCGGGCTAGGGGAAAAGGTTTAAAGAATTGGAAAATGGACTGCTGAGGGCGGAACCATTTTTACTCAGCACGTATGCGGGTTTTTTTCAGTAAAGACGCGAATAAAGGAAGTGCTTATTTTGGTAAGATGCGATGATTAAAGCAAGTGTTGACAAAGTTGAATATGTCATTTGTGGCTCAAAGTCAGACCTGGGAGCAGGGATAAAAAAAACGAATTTCAATGGCCCTGAACCCATTCCAGAATTTGAGGTCAAATGTTTTCTTCCAATCCACTGCACGCACTGACCTGTTTCTTCCCGCGCATAGCGTGACCTTAAATTAATCTGCATTTAGGAAATACCCAACCGGAAAAACATTTTTAATGGTTGACCGATTCTCGATTTGCACTCTGTTTGGAGGGCGCTCAGAGTTGAAACTTCACATGGTGACTCCCAATGGCCTACTCATAAATCCGGTCGGTTTTCGCTAAAAACCGACATGCGGTTCAGACGCAATCTGGGCGTGTCGGTTTTTGGGTTTTATCGTTTTTCCGCGCTGTTTAGGGTCCGTGGTCATGAAACTTCTGGACAACACTTCTAATGGTAGATTCTAAGAGGGTGTCAAATTTGGTTGAAATGCGATCATTCCTTCTGTAAGCAGATTTTTTCGATTACCGACTTTTTCGGAACCTGAGTCCGAACTCAAAAATCGGGCTCCGTCATGTCCTTACGGCAGCCATTTGCAAACATGTGGTGAAAACCGCATCGAAATCGGGCGAGAAATGCGGCCTGGGCGAGGTAACAACGCTCACGACAGACACACAGACAGGCAACAAGAGAAATATAGATAGTAGATAGATAGATAGATAGACAGATAGATAGATACCATTATCTACAGAAATATTACCTTTTTAGATAATGAAATTGCTTTCAGAAAAAAGTCCCATGAACTGCAGGCAACATCTATAGATTTTAAAAAAAAGTCTTTAAACCATTTAATAGGTTGACATGTTGTTTTCATTTCATTAATTCCTCAGAAACTGAATGAAAATAGTGAAATATTTTCAGGAATACAAGAAATAATCTGATCTGGAAATTTTCCGAAGACGAAATATTTAAATATGAAACCATTTGTTTAGCGATTCCACATATTTTTATTGCTGTGTCGTGGCACAATAGTAAAAATAAGAAAATCAAGTCGAAGTTGGTTTAAAGAACAAGTGTATTTAACATCACAGATACAAAGGTAGGAAACGGGTACTACTCAGCTAGGCAGTTGTAGTACTGTCGCTGCTTACCCCGGGTAGGTATTACTGGCACTATATATAGTGAGAACCGGTGTAATTCCCTTGTGTTAGAGGCCGGTGCAACACCCCCTTTGAAAATATCCCGTCTGGGAATTAATAATGTTTTGTTTTGGTTCACCTAATCAACCCGTTGATTTCCGTTTTCTTTCTGGCCTCCCTATTCTCAGGAGCTGTCTCTGGTATGGGCACCTGAAAAGTATCAAACACTGAGTCCATGATGTCCTCCTCGGGCGATCTGGTCACCTCACTGTTCGAGTATCTTTTCCGGATTTGGTTAGTGTGACGTTTGTGCACGAAATCTGGTCCCTTAATCATATAGACCATGTTGCCTATTTGTTTCTTAATAGTGCCGGACTCCCAAAAGGTCCTATTATTTCTATGCATCTTGTAGAAAACTCTTTCGCCAACTTTATACAGTTTTTTTGTTATTGTTTTTTTTAGGTTTGGCCTATCCTGGTTTGGTAACAACTTGTGGAAAATTGATCTAACCTTGCGTCCGAACATGACTTCAGCAGGTGTCTTCGACGTTTCGATGTTTGCATTCGGAGTGACCCTGTAAACTTGTAAGAACTGTTGGATTGACTTATCCGTCGGTGATCAACTAGCCTTTCTCAGGGCTCTCTTGAACGTATCCACGAATCTCTCCGCTTGCCCTTTGCTTCTTGGATGGTATGGTGGAATGGTTATATGCTCGATTAGATAATCCTCGCAGAGATGTTTAAATTCGGTCGACGTGAATTGCGTTTCATTGTCTGTGACAATGCAGTCTACAACTCCAAACCTAGCGAATAGTTCACACAGGAAGTTAATAGCTGCCTCGGATGTGGGGTTCTTGCATTTCCGTACTTCCGGCCACTTAGACTGTCTATAACAATGAGATAGTAGAAACCATCTAACGGTCCAGCAAAATCCAAGTGAATTCTCGACCAAGGTCGGTCCGGTTTTGCCCACGATCCGAATTGAGTCGGAGGGGCTTTCATAGCTAATGCGCATCCTCTACACTCCCTGACTTTTTCTTCTATATCCTTATCCATGTTTGGCCAGAAAACGAAAGAGCGCATAAGGCTTTTCATTCTTGATATGCCTGGATGTCCTACATGGAATTCATTTGAGCATTCTTTTCTGTAATGTCGTAGGAATTACGACCCTGTCGCTATATAACAGGACGTTATCACAAATTGAATAAATTTCCTCATCCAGTTGGTTACTGTTGATTTTTTCTTTCGTGCTTATAATAAATTCGTCCACCTCTGCCTTACTTTAATCTCATCAAGCGTTACTGGAAGTTCTCTTATCGTGTCACATAAAGTATTTTTTTTACTTCAACTTCCG